CGGGGACATCAGACTCGCCCACGGCTTCTGCGCTCCCCCACAGTGGGGGAGATGACGACGGAACAGGCGTGAGCAGCGCAAGAGAGCGGGGACCTTCCTGGGCAGCGGCGCGAGGCCGAGCGACCCCGCGGAGCACGCTATGGCGGTGCTGAGCCAGGGCGCCTGGAGGAGGTGCGCCCACTGCGCGCAGCAGCAGGCCGCGGCTCCTCCCGCGGGCGCCCCGCCTGCCCGTTCCGCGCCCTTCACTTCGAAAGGGGCGGGAGTCCTCGACTGCTGCCAGTGCGGGCAGCGTAAACCGCTGGCCCATTGCAGGCTCGGAGAAGTGAACGCCCTGAAGGTGCGGGGGGAGCTGGACCGCGCCGATTGTATCAGTTGCGCTCCAGAGCGGCCCCATGTCAACGTGCATTTGGATGCCCGCCCATTCAAGTGCGCGGGGCCTGGGGAGCAGAAACCACAATGTCAGTTCGACGAGACCTTCAAAGGGCACCGTGGCTTGAAGGACATGGCGTGCACTGCGCGCATCGACCAGAGGATGATGCCCCTCTGTGATGGAGGGTGCGGGGAGGCCTGCAGCTCGCTTGAAGAACGGGCACGCGTGCTACCGCGACGCTTTAAGCTCCCGAAGTGTTCAGCATGCCGCGAGAAACCGCGGCCGAAGTTGGACAAGTATTCAGTCAAGAGGACGCCGCAATGGGGCCGCGCAGACTGCCGCCGCAATTCGACGCTGAAGCGCGGGAAGTGCGACGCCGTTGTTTCGCGAAACGCCCTCGACGCGTCGCAGCGTGGCAAGACAGGCGTTGTCTGTGCGACGTGCCGAGGCAGGTAGTAATGGCTTCTGCATGTCCCCGTCTACCACAATGTCTTCGCGCTTTGCTTGGACTCCCGAGCCCCCGATAGCCCCCACGCCATTTGGGGGTGCCTTGCCTGGAGTGCCCCCGCAACAGATGTTTCACCGCGTCGGGGGTGGATCTCTCGCCGTCTGCGTGAGCTGCGTCGAGCGCGGGCCTGTCGTCGCGACCGCTCATCGTGGCCTTGCTAAGATGCGAGTCGGACAGAAAAATGGCGCCATGCTGTCGCGCGTCATCGGGGTCTTTGGGTGGCATGTGCGGAGGTGGCAATCGATGTGCACAATGCGCAGGTGGAGAACACGTGTATCCCGGTCGTTGGATTTCCATGGGCCTGCGGGGGGTGTCTGGGAGGTTTCCTCAGGGCTTCTGCGGGGCTTATTGGGGGCCTCTTGGGTCTTAGGGCCTCTTTGGCGCGTCTTGGGCCGTTATGGGGCGCTCTTGCGCTCCGCGGCCCCTTCAGAGGCAGGAGGCAACTCCTGGTTAAAACTCCGATGAGCAGAACAACAAATTTGCATTCGCATGCACTTTCGCTGGCCTTTTCGTTGCACTTCGGGGTTTCGGGGCCTCTTGGAGGCCTTTTGGGGGTTTCCTGAGGGCCTCTTGGGAGCCTCTTGGAGCGTTTTGTGCCGCCTTGGGGTGCTTTGCGAAGCTTCGCCCCTTCGGAGGCCGCCCGGCGGGCCTCTCGCGGCCGCCTTGGTGCCCCGTTGGGCTCCATTTGGGCCGTCTTCGGGGCCACTTGGACCTTCTCGGGTGCCTCCTTGGGCCGTCTTGGGCCGTCATGAGGTTCTCTTGGGGGCTGTTTGGGCCGTCGTGGGCTTTTAACGGACGAACAAGGCGAGAAAGCTAAAATCCTTCAAGATCTAAGGGTAATCGTTGATTTGGGCTCGCGCTTCTGAGTGTCCTCTTGGAGCCTAACAGGGCCTTCCCGGTGGCTTCTTGAGCCCTCTTGGGGTCATATTGGGCCGTCTTGGGGTCGTCTTGGCCCGTCCTGAGGCCATGTTGAGCCGTTTTGGCGCAGTCGTGGATCCCCAAGAGGCCCAAGGGGCCCACATCATACATTGTCCATAGGTTTCTGTTGGTTACTCGGCCCAGAGTGGGGCCACCACGATTGGTGGACGGATGGGGCGTGGCCCCTGGGAGGGGGGGGGTATGAGGGGATGAATCATATTGCAACGCTATACAACATGTGGCAATAGTTCAATCATTGGATACATGATATACGTTGCCTTAGGGCTTCAGCTCCGCTGCGCGACCTGCTTGCGGCAACGCGTCACTCTCGGACGTGGACTTTATAGGCCTACGCCACATATGCAGGCCTCTCTGATTTGAAGCCCCAAAGGGAGCCCAACGAGGGGCGGACCCCCCCTGATGAGTTCACCTGGGGGTCGTGCCGCCTTCCCCCTCAAATCTGCAGTTTGGGGCCCTCTGGGTGGAAGGGGGGGGGAACTACAGGGGGGGAACCATCTCACACGCCTGGAGACCCACAAAGGTCGGCGGACCTGTTTTGGACTCTTTGTTGTCTCTCTGTTTTGTCAACTGCCTCCCTAGACAGGCCCCCGCTCTTGCAGGGCACGGGCTAGGCTTTAGGGCGCGCGGCGTGGGCTGCACATCATTTGCTGGAGCTTCCCCGCGCGACGGCGGTCGAGGGATCGAAAAAGTGCGATCCGATGTGGTGTGTGTGTGTGTGCGCGCGCGTTCGTGCGTGCGTGCGTGCGTGCGTGCGTGCGTGCGTGCGTGCGTGCGTGCGTGCGTGCGTGCGTGCGTGCGTGCGTGCGTGCGTGCGTGCGTGCGTGCGTGCGTGCGTGCGTGCGTGCGTGCGTGCGTGCGTGCGTGCGTGCGTGCGTGCGTGCGTGCGTGCGTGCGTGCGTGCGTGCGTGCGTGCGTGCGTGCGTGCGTGCGTGCGTGCGTGCGTGCGTGCGTGCGTGCGTGCGTGCGTGCGTGTGCGTGTGTGTGTGTACGTAGGATGAGGAGGAGGAAGAGGAGGAGGAGGAGGAGGAGGAGGAGGAGGAGGAGGAGGAGGAGGAGAGGCAAAAGAAGAAAAGGAGGAAGGAGGAGGAGGAGGGCGAGGAGGTGGAGGAGGGAAGAAAGAAGAGGAAGTCGCTCTCGATTCACGCGCCCACGCGCAGAAGGGGTTAGGGGGAGGAGGGAGGGTTTCTCAGAGGCACGCTTGCTTCTCAGCAGGCGCGGGCCTTGTCTATAGATGTAGGGCCGGCGCCTTCTAAGAAACAGCCTCCTTCCAAGAAGCCTTCCCCCTCCCCCTACCCCTTTGTGCGCGCCGCCAAAATCAGTCGCGCATGCCGAGGGATGCTGGGAGAAGGAGGCAAAGTGGGGGTCCGGAGGTGCATACGTTTGCTTGAGCTCTTCCTCTTGTGTGTGTGTGTGTGTTTGCAGGTTGGGAGATTACCGTGATCTGTCGAAGTGGGTGGTTGCACTTAGACTCTGCTCAACCCCTCTGGTTGTGCAAACAATCACTTGTGAACCAGCCGAGCACCTCCCCGCCGCGTTGCAAGGTGCGTTCTATACTCAGGAATTCTAAACGCTTCGCGTATCCCCACCAGCACGTCCCGAAATGAGTCCCAGGGGAGTGGAGGTGATGAGGGAAGCGGCGGAGCATGCAGAAGAACAAATGGCGGGGTAAGCCGCCATATACCCCAAGAAGGGGAGGATGTACGAGGAGTCGTCGTCTTCGGAGTAGGAGGAGGAAGAGGAGGAGCAGGAGGAGGAGCAGGAGGAGGGGGGGAGGAGGAGGAGGAGGAGGAAGATGAGGAGGAGGAGATGGAGGAGGGCGAGGATGTGGAGGACGAGAAGGAGGCGAAGGATAAGGAGGTGGACGAGGAGCAGGAGGAGGAGGAGGGGGAGGAGGAGGAGGAGAGGGAGGGGGAGGAGGGAGGAGGAAGAAAAAGAGGAGGAGGAGGACAATGGCGAGCTTGGGGGCCTCTTGGGCCGTCTTTGGGGCCTCTTGGCGGTCCCGGGGGCCTCTTGCGTATCTCGGGGAGCCTCTTGGGGCTTCTTGGGGGTCTCTTGGGAGCCTCTTGGAGGCCTCTTGGGCGCCTCTTGGGGCCTTTCTTGGGGCCTCTTGGGGCGCTCTTGGGAGCCTTCGGGGCGCTCTTGGGGCCATGTTGGAGGAGATCAATCAAAGAAGGGGGGATGGCCAATTAGCGTTGCCCCTCCTTGGGCCCCAAAAGAGGCCAAAACCTAGGGTAATCCATGTTTTTTTACTTTCTCGCCTTTCGCTCTTGGAGCCGTCTTGGGCCATCTTGGACGCCCCAACGACCCGCGGACCCCCCCGTCCAGGTCCAGGGGAGGGGGGGGTAAACCCCTCCCCGAAGGGGAAGAAGGGGGTTGGAAGAGGAAACTCTCTAGACCACCGACGCCCAGAGGGCTGGTGGGATTTGGATCTAGAAGCTGACGGGAGGACGATCGTACGACGATCGGACGTTGCCATTCACGGCCCCAGAGTCGGTGTTTTCGTCGTTTCTACATTGTGGGGATCGTCGTATTTGCTGCCCCCTCCCCTGTTAGGCAGAATCCTCGCTAGCCCCCACAACGAGGGTCACCCGATTCAGCTGGGGCGCGTTTGGGTGCAGGGTTCGAAGGTCGCACACGATGAGCAGCGTGAAAAAGGTTGGCTGACATAGATCGAATCCAGCCTCGTCGTAGAACGGAGTTCCCAGCAGCATTGCCAATGCTCCGCTACACTTGGAGCTTCGGCCAGTCACGATATCCAGAAACCATGACAAATCTTGTGGAGAGCTTCTTGGGCACCTTCTTGGGAACACCTTGGGGGCATCTTGGAGCATGCGGAGGCTCTTTGCGCCCCTGGTCTCGGGGCCGTTTTGTCGCGTCTCGGGGCCGTCTTGTAGCTCTCACGTGCTGGCCTTGGCCCCGCTCAGGGCTGGCGCGTGTGAAACGGGCAGTGCGCTTTCGTGCAGATCTCGGTAGCCTTGAGACGGGGCTCAGTCCAAAAGGGGGTCAGCCAGAGCGCCGGATCGTGCAGGATCCTGCAGGGCCAGGGTTGCACTGACCAGGGTCAGCGCGCTGGATCCTGCAGGATCCAGCAGGATCTTGCAGGATCTTGCAAAGCCTGACTGACCCAGGTTCGCATTGACCCAGGTCAGTGCGTCCCCGAAGATGCTGGACTCTGCCCTTGTCGGCCAGATTTTCACCAGGGCGAATGCGTCCTTCTGGTGGTCTTGCCATTGCCGCGGGGCCTTTTCTGACTCTCGAGCTCTGCCGTGCGATTGCCGCGGCGCGGGTCTCCGTCGTTCCGTGGGTCCAGTCGTGGAGAAGCGCCCGCTCGACGAAGAAAACAAAACTGCATAAACATAAACTTTCGGAGCTCCGCGCGGATTTCCCGTATCGACGCTAAACCCCTCTTCTTGAAGCGCGGAGCGCGCCAGGGGCGGCGCTGAAGGCGCCGCTACGGGGGTCCAGCGCCGATCCAAGAGATCTGCGCGGACTTCCGAGCTTGCCATCGTTCGGACGTCCATTCCCCGTACGTTTTCCGGGTCTCGCGTGTGTGTGTTTTTATAATGATCCAGGATGTTCCTCGTTAAACCTCGCCGCGAAATGCACACGTCCGAGTTCTTATGGTTATGTCATCGTTTCTTCCCCGAGCCCTCCCCCCAGCGAGCTTGCCGGCAGCCGAGCAAAACCGCGGCCCAGCGTGCTGGCAGCCCAGCGAGACCAGCGAGGCCCTGGCGAGCCTCTCGGTTATCTGCCTGTGCGAGGATGTGGTCACTTCTGGCTGGGCAGAGGACACTCTCTTGCTCCTCAGTGTGGGCGGGGAGTTACGTAATCATGCGCGCCACTCCCTGCGCAGCGTCGCCGAATTAGCCATCCATGACAGCATGAGGTTGGCATCGCGACTGCCGTGGCTGGACAAGCCCTTCCTGATGCCTCGTCCCCCCCACCCCCACCCTGCCCACCTTTCTGCTCCCCAACGTGTGAAAAGGTGGGGGGCGGGAGGGAGGAGATATGGGGGGGGCGGAGGTATGGGTTTAAGGGGGGTGGGTGAAGGTGAGGTTTTCTTTCAATGCGCCGCATATTTTCAACGAAATCCATCGGGGGAGGGACGCGTGTCAGATGCCTCCTCCCTCTCCCAGCCCAAGTTCCTATCTCCCTCCCTCCCTCTCCCTCTCCCCCCCCCAGGCATCCCATCCCGGTGCCTGGCGAGGGGCGAGGCCGAAAATCATGGAAAGGCATCCGCTTTGAGCTTCTCGAGACGTTGGAGGTCTGGGGCCCTCCAGTCGGCCAGTCGATGTTTTCGCGCGCGACGCCGCATCGCGAGGAGGAGGAGGAGGAGGAGGAGGAGGATGAGGAGGAGAGCGAGGAGGACGAGGAGGACAAGGAGGACGAGGAGGACGAGGAGGAGAAGGAGGAGAAGGAGGACGAGGAGGAGGACGAGGAGGACGAGGAGGACGAGGAGGACGAGCAGGAGGAGGACGAGGAGGACGAGGAGGACGAGGAGGACGAGCAGGAGGAGGAGGAGGACGAGCAGGAGGAGGAGGAGGAGGAGGATGACGAGGAGGAGGAGGAGGAGGAGGAGGAGGAGGAGGAGGAGATGGAGGAGGAGGACGGCGGGTGCCCCGCGCTGGCCTGGGGCCGCCGCTCCTTGGGGCGGCCGCCCAGGCGCTCGAGGCCAGCAACGGGGTGGAAGCAGGCCGGCCTGCTCCTCAGAGCTTGCCGCGAAGGGTTGGCCGCAGAGGGCATCTGACATGAGTCAGCGACTTCTCGAGGTTGTCCTTCTTGAGGTGAGGGGGGGTAGCTGGGCCCAGGTCGGACCCAGCCGAGGGGGGCCGCGGCTTCGTTGGGGGGCCCCTGGGGGGCGGAGCCTGGGGTCGGTTCGGGACTGTGCAGAGATTCGTTTCGAAAAGCAGAAGTCAGCCACGCGCAGAAGGGGGTAGGGGGAGTGGGGAAGGCTTCTGAGAAGCACTCCTGCTTCTCCGAAGGCGCGGGCCTTGTCTATACATGGCCAGCGCCGTCTAAGAAGCAGCCTCCTTCTAAGAAGCCTACCCCCCTCTCCATAATTACCCCCTCGTGCGCGCAGCCAAGATGGGGCGAATGGCCCAGGGGCGGACATTACACGCAATCTCCGGGATCTTCGCCGAAGGCATGGGCCATCAGCGCCCCTGGATACATGCATTGCTCTCCCGTGGCTATTCGCCCCCCCCCCATCGTCGCCCCCGAGGTTGGGAGGGCGCTCCGCGGAGGTTGCAGATCGGGCGCGGCCGGTGCCGCCGCCGCCGCCGACCCTGAAGGGTGGGGACGACGACGAGGACGACGACGGCGACGGCGACGGCGACGGCGACGGCGACGGCGAGGGCGAGGGCGACGGCGGTGGCGATGGCCATGGCCATGGCGACGGCCATGGCGACGGCGACGGCGACGGCGACGGCGACGGCGACGGCGACAGCGAGGGCGACGGCGACGGCGACGGCGACGGCGACGGCGACGACGACGACGACGACGTCGTTCGCGAGCCCTCGTGTGGGCCCTTGTGAGCCCTGTTTGCCTGTCTTGGGAGGGTTGGGAGGGCGTGCCGCGGAGGGTACAGATCGGGCGGGGCTAGGACGACGATAGATTTTCGGGGGGTGCCAGAGGCCCCCCCTGGCCCAAGGTGCCCTCAGCTTTTTGCTCCATTTTGGACCCC